CCAACGAAATCTTTCTACATAAAGATGGTCTCACTACATTCACTAGCGGTATCCCATAAGTTCCTTAAGCGAGATGTTACCTCATTATTTGGTATACTTGAGACTTTCATGTAATTAAATCACTAACTGTGTGACTGTCAGTTCCAGTTTCTTATTTGTCGACTTGATATTTAGATGCGATAACTCAGATTCTCTTATGCCTTACAACTTTGTTTAAACAGACAGTTTTGTTTTTATTTGGTGGTAGGTATTTCTTAAACGTTTCTGATTTATAACGACAGAATTAGGTTCTTCATGCACATGTTCAATATTAGTTTTTATGATTAGTTTCCCCAGTATCAAACATTCTGACGAAGTGCGTTATGATTTTTAAATCCATTTCATTGTTATGCATTGTAAACTGTCTCAAAATCAAACGTTGAGTGTTTGTTTAAGTGAGTTATATTATCCTTCCATTGACTAATTTTAACAGTACTCCAATGCTAAATCCCAGTAGAAGTGTCGGCTGCCAGTATCGATGCTTTGACAATATCTGATAATTGGAGCACCACCACTCACATTAGGGTTGCAGAAATATCAGATTAGACGAAGTGAGCACCTAAGAGTTTACTGATAGCCGGAGTCAACTACAAAACCACTGGATATATTAATTCGAAATAGTTTTGACAATGTTAGATTTATGCCTTGGATTAGTGAAAATGTTGTCAACAATCCTTTGACTAAATGCATTTTGTATGCACATTTTATAGTCTATTATTTGACTATATAAGCGAATTACTTATTTTCACAATAAAGTGCAGCTACAGTTTTACAGTATTTACTGGGGATATTTTCTAGAAAGCTATATGCATTCGGTGCGTCGTGGCACAGAGGTGGAAGGCTCACCAACCACTCAGATGCTTTTGGGTTCAGTCATCGGCTGACGCACTCCTTTACCTCGCTTAGCCAGTAATAAGACTGGTAAAAAAGAGAAGGTTGGGCATAAGGCTAGCAATCCCATACCGAAAGGTCGAACTTCTAGCTTGATGCCCTATGTTGCAGTGGGAACTTAAACGAACTATATATATATATATATATATGCGTTCGCGTAACATGGAGAATTTACTTATACGGTCAGCAGTGAATGATCTTACTCGAAGAGAAGTTAGTTAAATATCGAGGAGTAGAGCTGTGACATAATCAATAACGCGTATCCACTATATAACAAAAACAAGGAGTTTTAAACACCACTAGTGCTTCCATCCAAAGGGGTGACCTCTAAAACTTTATATAGAATTTTAACAAAACTTAGATTGTATCTGTTAAGGAATTCTGTGGAGCAACCCATTGGACAAAATAGTTCAGTTTGTCTAATATGCCGTAATGATTGTGAAGATGAATACATTTGACAACTATCAATTGTGATATGATTGATATGATTATGAACAATAAATTGTGTTCGAAACGTCATCCAGTATACAATACTGTTTCACAGTGTGATACACCTAATAAACAAACTAATATGGAATACCTGAGTCTAATAACATAAAAAAATCTAGAATGTAACTCAGCCAGTGCACTACATGCATTTAAACACAGTCAAAAAATAGGGGAGACAAGATGATAACTTGAAATCTAATATAACAAGATGGACATAAAGATTAATAGGTGGAGCTTTTGCCATCGAAAAACTGGAACACGTCAAATAGAATGATTTAACACCTGTCTAGGATATCAGGAATATCCAGCTTCCCAATTCCTATGGAAAAGCAAGAATATAAACATCAATTTTTGAAGTTGAGTAGTTGAGATTCATGATTGGATTTCGAATAATAATAAACTGTGTTCGAGGCTTCGTCATCTAAATAATACTGTTTAATTGTGTGGTATATATCCATTAACAAAAGAATATGATGGATGTTTAGTGTTAAAGTATCAAGATGGGGACCGGTCGTAAAATGTTTCGAATTTGGAGGAGTGCAATAATCTTCTATAATCTATCAGAATCTTATCTGTACAAGAGAAATCATTACTGTTTATTCTATCAAGCCCTATGAATCCCACATATGCAACAAAAACACAACCATCTGCTGAAATATACGTCAAGATTTTTTTAGGCCCGCAAACCATAACTAAGAGTTTAAACATTTAAATGTCATAACAAATATGTCATCTACTTTACCCCACAATCAGTATAAAAACAACGAAAGACATCACTGTGATGCAGATTTTTACATATATCACAGATCTGTCTAGATAGCAGTAATCGTTGACTTAAATAATTTTTAAATACATCATATGTCAATTATCACTACAAGACTTGGTGAAACATTAATTATTTTAAAAATTTACACATTAGAACAACTGTTAAAGGTCACTATCGTTTTATAACTTATTCGGTGGTTCTGTGGTTTATTTTTGAACCGGTTACAAGCTCAGCAAAGGGGGGAAGACCGGAAGTGATGCCTACAAATACTATCGCTAATAAGACTTTTAGGCTTAAGATCTGTGTCCTATGTTCTTTTTTGGGAAGCAGATTAATGAGTGAAATTCTGTAACGGTAAAAATATTTACAAAAAGTGCTTTATCCCACTTCATCCGCAGTAAAACGTAACCTATACACCTCTAAACTTGTTTGCGAGCATTAAAGTGTAGTAGATATGACAAATTACTTCTTTGCAATAATACCTTTATGACAATGATTTCAATAGTCCACTCACAATTCATAGAAGAGAAGTGTTTCTTTTATGGAATGAGCATGACTGAATTGTGGTTGATTAGTGCTAAGAAAATAAACACATGTAACACAATGAATACCTATCAGTTTATTTATCTTCAAGACAAGTTGAGTGATACCTATCTGTAAAGAAAACTTGTAGAACATTCATTCTGCTGGTATATTTGGACAATACAAGTAAAAGCCTGAATTCAAGTTACTTAGGTAGACAGATACTGCCTTTATATAAGTCTTTGGGTGATAAAATTAACGTTGTCTGTATTCTAAATAGTACTTACGATGTAGAGATTCATATCGTGACTTAACTGAAGTGTACTTTAGATGACATGAACTTTAACTTATATATTCTCATAGTAATACTTATGGAATACAAATTAAATGAATACTCATTTTCTGTAATTTCTTATCAGGCTATGGATATGAATTAGTGAATAATAATCGAGGTTCAAATACCAATAATAATAACAAGGACAAATTCAGTTGTTTATATAATCTAGGTAGTCAATCGTCCTGAAGGTGTAAGTAGAATGTGGACACTTCTAGGAGTAGGGGGAAGAATAACTATTGTCACATAGTGACTAGATAATATAGTTAATATCAGTTGTGAACCTAAGATTAAAGATATACGGTCACAGCACAGTATGATATTGACAACCATAATAAAGTTATAAGTACAAATAAAAATAATATTCATAATTACCCGGTATCATGGAGATAGATAAATATTCTAGGTTGAGAATGAATGCCACGGGAAGGAGAGGGATTGAATAAAGTTTTTCTGAACACCGACATTACTTTGAAAAATATACATGTCAAAGTTTAGTTGAATGGTGTGCGTTGGTGGCACAGTGGTAAAGTGCTCACCAATCAAACATGCGGTCCGGGGTTCAATCCCCAGTCACTGACGCACGCGTTCCTCTCGCGAAGCCAGTAGTCAAAATGGCAAAGAGGGAAGGCTGGGCATGAGACTAGCAACTGCATCCTGTAAAAATAATCACCACTGCTACAGAAACTTCAAGCCTCTAGCTTGAAGTCCTATGTTCCACTGGGAACGTGAAGGAATTTAAAAAAAGGGGTTGAATGGTGTTGTCCTAATATGAAGCTTATGACTGACATTACGACTCCTTTTCCTAACCAAGTTGGACAATCTTCAAGACGAAACCTGATTTAGACGAAAATTCTCTAAATGATAACCCACATTCACATCACGTAATTATTGATCTACACTTCATTTGAAAAACTATAGTATCAAATCAACTGATATAAAGTTATCCTGCATCATATGTACAAAAGAAAAACACTGATCACAAAACTCAACAAAACATTTGAGAAAATAACAAACACCTTGAGTTTAAAATGCATCAGTTATCTATCTATTTTATAAGTTTGCGATGCAATAAGATTCGCTTTATAAAATAATTTTGAATGTAAATCTAGTCATGAAACAATATCAATCAGAAAGATCATTAAAAATCAAGGAACACTGAACGGCTCTTTCGTCCTACTGCGGGGCACTTTATCAGTGTATACTCATGGGGCTTACCAAGAATTGGACCCACTACCTTCAGCTTATGAGGCCAAGCCACATGGATGGGAATTCAGCGACTCATGATTCCTACCTTTGTCAACTCGTTATATACCGCTAGGCTCCGATCCCGTAGTTGGTGCCTTTGGTGAACATCTACTTCATCATGACATGATCACGGCTTCTCACTACAGCTTCAGGATCCTTATCCAGTAACCATCATTGAGGTGAATATTGATATTTAGTTTTCGTGTCTAGTGTCCCATGATTTTCAGTCACGAATTCTACACTCAAACCACATAATATAAACATTAAATTCTTATCCAAAATTCCTGTAGTACCAAAATAACAGCGCCAAATATCTTTTATCTCACTTTACTTGGAGTTATTCAACTTTTTTTATGACTAGGATTGTTTGGTTAAATAAAAGAATGATGCCTCTTGTAGCCAAAAAGTATGTTCATGCATGTTTAAGTTCCACGTCAAAACATTCCATTGCTGTCTAGTATAAAATGTATATTCTAGGTTGAAAGAAAAAAGGAGCTATCTTGTGTACAAATGTCCTGATTCCCAGTATATTTAAATATACACGAATGAAGAATCAACTTGATGCTTATAACTATAATAATCCTTACAGATGTCACATAGATCTGTCAGGCAACAGATAGGCTACATGTGGTACTCAAAACTACAAGGAATATATATATATATATATATATATATATATATATAACGCTGTTATGTACAAAGAAAACTTACTTAATTGTACACATGAATTTTCACATTGTATTGCATAAACAGTACTCTTTTTGTTTGTTTATTTTAAAATAAAATATTTCCACATGAATATTGTATAATCTCAAAATAATAATAATAGTTTCTCTTATGATAAATTATATTCTTTTGAATGCAGTAATATTAAGATGTCCGAAAAGAAAGAGATTACAATGCCTTGTTGATAGGAGATTAATTAATGTGTGTGTAAAAATATGTGTGTAATATTTGATAAATACTCATGTAAACTAAAGCTTTTTATTTGGCTTAAATAGATCATGTCATTTTGTTGAGGTGTTCATCTATTGGCTACTTGTTAGTAAACAAGGCAATACTTGTAGACTACTGGTTATTTGTTTTCTAAAAGGTGTCAGATGATTGGTTCATTATGATTTCCTCTGTATTTTCTTAAATATTACACGTATATATATATAAGTAGGTAGGTAGGTTCGTAGTGTGACTAATAAGAAATTGAAGATATTCATAATATTTACAGACACATGTTACAAGGCCTTTTTTTCTCTATGCAAATGTTTTGCTAAAACATTTCAATCGTCAATTTCCGTTTGTTATTTTTAGAGACATTTTGACAATATTTTAGAAGTGTTCAGTGATGTCAGTGGGATACACACACACGATATATTTCATAAACTAGCATCAGGTAGAGAGATCACTGAGAGTCAGGAAGCACTGGACAGCTGTTTCTTGCCATCTCGAGTCAGACTTGGGACCTCCAGTTTATGAAACTAACGCTGCCGACCATTTAGCCAATAGAGCTGTCATTCAATAACCCCTTAATTCTTACTTTTCTGTAGTATGCATACAAAACCTTACTTGTAGACTATTCAGCCAAAGAGACACAATCTCATGGTCCATGAATTCAAAATTGTACCAATTCGAGATTTATGAGGTGCAACTACCAGCTAGTGTCATCGATGAGTAACCCATCTCTTACCTAACTTGGTGTATGCTACTGGTTACAGCTTCTCCCTAGAGTCCCAAGCTAGGCCAAAACAGCTGTTCAGTTCTCGCAGGTTTTGTAATGGTTCTCTAACTGATATTAACTCATGGTCAGACCTGAATCCAGTGGAATCCTTGCAAAGCAACACATGGTATTTTTAACCTTTTCAACGTTTGATATAGCTATTGGATGGATGTCTTGAAGCTGTAGTGAGAATTCGTGACCAGTGGGATCCACCATGTGAAGATGAAGTGGATATTTACCAAAGGCAATGATTCAGGGGGTAGCGCCATATCACAAATTGATGAAGTTAGGATTCATAGGTCACTGAATCCCTCTCCAAGCGGCGGAATGGTGCACGAGCTCTGTCTTGTAAACTTCATGCCCTAGGTTCGATTCTTGGTTGCGTCGTGGTTGCTCTCTGCTAAAAATGAGACAAAACATCTGCACAGTGATCCCTGATTTTCAACGGTCTCTTTGACAGGCGTTAGTTCATGATGACAATCTAATAGCCGAAATTGATCTAAAATCATTAAAAATCTTATGTGCGTCGGTGGCACAGTGGTTAGGACTCTCGACGACCATGCATATGGTCCGGGGTTCGCTCCTCTACCGACGCACACCTGATATCTATGGTCGGGCTGCAAAATTTGGGCTACCGATGTCACATGCTAAAAATTCTAAACCTGTATCAAAAAATACAGTATGGAGTCAAGCTGTAATCAAAAAAATTAATTACACGCTTACTTGATCATTAATGACAGTATGTAACTAACTACATCGTTGACATCGTCATATAGGTTCAAATGCTTTCAAAGTTTTAATAGGGATAAATCTAATATTATTTAGTTATGTCTGGAATACTACAGTAGTATTCGTTCCCGATGGTTTTACTTTTCTTAACGATTCTTTTGAAATATCACTAAAGTATGCCTAGTTTCATGTGAAAGATGAACGAGAGAGAGAGAGAGAAAAACAGTGATGATGTTAAATCTATCTATTTATCTATCCATCTACCTATCCTGTTTCTCTCTCTTATATCTAAGCATATCTGATATAGATGTATTAAAGCGGGAAAACATGTACATGTTCTTTTCTACAAGAAAAAAGAAAGAAGGAAGGAAGAGCATTGTTTACTTATTCTTTCTTGAAAGTTACATTTCCCCACCTCCTCACCACCTACCTTCTTCATCTCTTTCATAGATATATATACATACGGGAACTTATACCCTCATATAATCACAGTCGTCAGCCTGTACACTTTTCCATGTTGATTTCAATGTCGTTTATTATATATATATATATATATATATGTATTTATATATTTTTTTCAAGGTATCTTGACTGAAAGTCGAATCAAAACAGTCAAGAAACAATGTTTGATAGTTTCTTGTGTTTCTGCTTCATCGTTATTATTATGAACTTCCTGATCAATTCATTCAATTCTGATCTGTATTCATTTCTTTTTTGCGTCTATCTCTTTTTTATTTGTCTCTTTCAATCAATTGTTTCTTTGGCGTTGAATGAATGAATGAATGAGTGGATGAATTTCAAGTAAGTGCATGAGTCGTTAGTACTCTGTGTGTAGACATTCTATGATAGACGGAAGCAGTTATATTCAGGTGAATATGTATATACATATATAGATATATACATGTATAAGAATCTTTATAAAAGACTCGTCAAAGATTTTTCTGTTTTATGAGTGGATCTAATCAATAACAGGTCAAAGAGAATTCCTTCTCTCTCCTTCTCTGATTAGAAGTTGTTTGCAACAGAAATTAATTTTAATATATTATCTAATCAACAGATTTATTAAAAACTTTGAAGACTATTGCTTATGAACATTCCTATTACGTTTAACACAATTTAGCTACACAAGGCTACACAATTTTACTTACAAACTTTCCACAAAGTTCTGAATGAAGTAAGAATAAACATATTTGCTGGATAATACAAATTTGTCTTAATTTGTGGATTCTCTTCAACTGCGTACATTGTAAATAAATCAGTTATATGTCATCAATTTCTGAACATACTTTTTACAAGGATTTCAAGTTATAGATAAAAAGTATAAGCAACATAATTTAAAGGTTTCAAATCAACTAAATTAAATTAATTTATCTAACTTTTAATTTTACTTCACTGTTCACCTCCATCCTCCTGAACTCTTCACCGTAATATTTATATATGAAGTCTCTCGTTCTATATTGTATTTCGTCTCTATGCAATCCTTGTTTCAAAGCAAAATCAAAAGTTCAAACCTTTATCTAATTAATATAAATTTAAAACAATTAATTCCCTTTATGAATTTAGATAAAGCAATAAGAAGAAGTAATTTGTCTGAATCGTGTAATGTATTTGCGCGCACAACACATTTCGAACAATTTGATCCAGCACACATGGACTTGTAATAGGAATACATATGATCAAGAGTAAAGAGGTGAGAAAATAGACTTAGGTCAAGTTAAAAGGACATGTTCAGGGTCGAAATTACAATGAAGACCACTAAACCAAATAGCAGAGGTAATAGTATATCTACCTTGGCTGGTATCAAAACAAAATTTACCAAGGAAGGTTTAATGTGATGACGAATTGTTTTTGAACGCATAAAGGTGGTTTAAACTTTTTAGCTGCCAGCTAGGGCTTCCACAAAACCTTAGCATACGCCCCAAACACGTTTTATAGATAGGTTTAAAAGATCTGTTAGCGTAAAATTTATGTCCTGTCTCTATAATATGTTTCGCAATAGAAGAGCTAGGTCACCTGTTCTCACCATTAATAGGTTCTGGGAATTCCATTTGTTTCTGGACACACTTAGAAATATGCTTTGACAAGTTCGTGTGTGATCAGATTGTTCGAAATGTGTTGTTCGCGGAAATACATTACACGATTCAGACAAATTTCGTCTTCTTATTGCTTTATCTAATATATAAATAGTTCCTCTCTTAACACTAAAAAATTGTCTACTTACATCCTCTTTAAAGTTATGTTGCATTTACTCTCTATTTATAACTTGAAATCCTCGTAAAAGCTTTGTTCAAAAATTGGTAGCATACAACTGATTTATTTAGGATGTACGCGGTTGAGGAGAATCCACGAAATATAGCGAGTTAGTGTTACTCTGCAAATATGTTCGTTCTTTCATTCTTCAAAGTAATAAAGGGAAACAGCGGTATGAAATTTACACAAAGTGTTATTAACAAAACTGTATTTAATTAATGTCTTTTTGATGGTAGTAAATATTAATTTATCCCAAATTTACGGCTACGATCGATTAACACTCAAAAAAAGCAAAAAAGACCTGAAAACGTCATGGTATCTTTAATCAGCATAATGTTTTGAATTCATATGAAAGAGGGATTAATGGTACTGTGGTAGATTATAATTTCATGATAGGTAAGTTTATTTAATATAGCATACAATGGCCTAGGGGTTTTTTAGTAAATAAGCTATCGTTGATGCAAACAGGATCCTGGGCTAAGAGTTGGTTGCATTCCTATTTTTCTGATAGAATGCAGTATACTGTATATAATGGCAAACCTTCTTCTACCTCGCTTACAAAAGTCGGTGTTCCTTCAAAGTGCCGTCCTCTCTCCTTTTCTTTTTTCTTTCTTCCTACAGACCGCCTCATTCACGAAACTAACTTTGTCAAATATGTGGATGATCTGACTGTATCACTGCCTATCTCTTCCGAGTCTGACAGCTCCAAACTTAATAGCTTTCTGTTGGACATCAAAAAGTGGTCCAAGTCAAATGGCCTTATATTAAATCCTTCCAAATGTCAGGCAGTTGACTTTACTTTCAAGCATCGACGTGACATACATGATCTAGTTAGTTCTCATGATGCCTGTAGCATAGATGGCACGGAAACTGAAACCAAGTCAAGCATTAAATACCTTGGATTAGTTCTTTCCTCTGACCTTTCATGGTCATCCCACATCTTATCTATCTCTAAGAAAATGTTTCGTCTTACCTTCTACATTAAAAAGTTAAGACAATCAGGTATCAAACAACCTTTAGTTTTGCAATTTCTAAACTCCTGTATTTTACATATTGTACTCTATTGCTCTCCATTAATCTTTCCTGGGCTTCTCAAAAAAGACTATATCATATTACAAAGAGTATTAAATGCTGTGAGTAGGGCTTGTGGTCTGCCATTGCGTGAGCTCGCCAATACTATAGTCGAGAGACAAATCAATCCTTGTGCAAAATGGGCAAAGGCTGTACTGTCAGACCCTCTGCACCCCCTTTATTCACAACTATCTCCTTGTATCTCATCAGGTAGAACGA